CGATTCCCAGAGGAATAAGAATTGGCATATCTCAGAAAGCACCAACAAAATACACACTCAAAGTATGGGAATCCCCATGGAAGGCAAGTTCTGTCCCTTGGTTGCAGTAACTGGGGAAGGAACTAGGTAAGTTTAGGGGTGGCTGGAGAAGCTATCTTGAACTAGGTCAAGTTCAGAGAGACAAAGAAAGGTGGCTACACAAGTGTATCATTTATAAAGGAAACAGTTCTCCACTCTCCTAACAGAGAAGGAAGAGCCCTTAAGTTGCTAACCTAGCAATTTCCTCTTTCTCATTCATGCCTCCACCTCTAATCTCTCTCGGAAAAGAGGTTATGGGCAATACAATCATAATGAATTTTTTAAAAAAGAAAATCTACAGTATACACCCACAAAATACTCTAAGAAAATATGTAGGAAAGAACAGTAAGATATTCCTATAGACAGAAAATTGTTTAGGAAAAGTTGCCACAGAGCAGACAGCAATTAACCAAACAACCTACCACTGATTTTTTTTTAAATTGATAAATCCTAAATATGAAAATCAAGATAGAAAAATTCAGGGAAGAGAGGAACAGAAAACAGAAGGTGATGGTGACGTCAAGTGGGGGAAAATGAGAGAAAAAAATTACAAACGTAAAAATATAAATTAAAAAGCACACAAGGAAGATTTGACACTATTGAGACCACAATAAAGAACATGGAGGACAGAAGAAAAAAAAAACAAACAAAAGAAATGAAGGAAATTATAGACAAATAAGAGCTCTAGATGTAAAACAAAGCATAGTCCATATATGTGTCGCTGGAATTCCAAAGAAGAAATCCAAAAGAAAGCAACAAAATGTAGATTTCAAGAGTTTTTAGGGCATACTGAGCTGTCCCAGAACAATCAACACTGAGTCACACCCTGGTAAAGTTGTTGTCTTTAAAGATTAGGGACAAATCCATTTAAAAATCCTTTAAAGATGTAGAAAGACACAGGATGCACTCACTTTTAAGGAAAAGAAAATTAGTATGGCATTCATAGAAACATCCGGTACCAAGACAGAAAAGAAATATCTACAGTGTACTCCAGCAAAGAGACAGAGTCAACTCTTTTATATCCAGACAAGACTTACTTTAAGTAAAAAGGGAAATAACTTGACTTTGTTTGGTTTAGATCTCACATTTAGAGAATTGGATTAATCAGAGTTCTTTTTATAGTCTCATTAATGCTCAACGAATTGTCTTATTTTACAGATGTATGCAGGCACACACATGTATATGTTTGTATGCAGTATGAAAGTAATCTGCATGCATTTTTGCATAGCTATTTAGGTATTATTTATGTAATATGGTAAACTCATGAGTCCAACTATGATAAAATTGTATAGTAACGTGCCTATTCATGGGCTCCACCATCATGCCATATCTCTGCCTCCTTTTACTAGAGGTAAGCACTATCCTCAACCATGTGTGTGCATGTATATGTTTTCCTAAAATATGCATTGATTTTTAAAATTTGTTTTTAACCTTATGTAAAAGGTATTTGGCTGTATATGACCTTCTGATACTTCAGATCTAATACCAGATGAATTATAAGCAGCACAATTATTTTATGTACCATTTCAATAATCAGACAGAAACCACACCAGTTACTTGACCAGAGGAATTTTACATAAAGCACCAGCACCAAATATAATTCTTTGCTTTTGCTTTTGAGTCAGAGTCTCACTCTATAGCTCAGGCTGGAGTGCAGTGGCACACTCACGGCCACCCCAGCATCGACCTGCTGGGCTCAGGCGATCCTTTCACCTCAGCCTTCCAAGTAGCTGGAACTACAGGCATGCGCCACCATGCCCGGCTTATTTTTTAATTTATTGCAGAGACTAGGTCTCACCACTTGCCCATGCTAGTCTCGAACCCCTGGACTCGGGCAATTCTCTCGCTTCGGCCTCCCAAAGTGCTGGGGTTACAGGCTTGAGTCACTGTGCCCAGCCTATAAAACTGTTATTCACTGAAAGGGTAAAGAGAAAACTCTAAGGTTCAGGAGATAGTAACTGCAGGAAGGAGCGATGGCTCACAAACCAAAGGAAACGAAGGGACAAACTTAGAAGAGAGGTCTCGTGGGGCTGAAACTCGGACTTTCAGGGAAGAGGAGGCACTGTTCAGTTGGTGCTGGTGCCTCTGAGCCCAAAGAAGGGGTCTTCCAGGCTGGGACCTAGGCCTCCAAGGGAGGGAGGGGTGCTACCCAACGGGTTCTGCAAATGATGGACAAATTATGAGCTGGGTTCAGTTACTGCTACAGGAAGGAACTGCCACAGCTCCTGGGAAGAAGGATTGCTCTGGGTGGAAATCACAGGAAAAGGAGCAAGTCCTTCCACCTCTCGCACTGCAGTCTCCTCTGGCGTCCCCTATTGACGAAAATTTTCAAGTGTGATTTGAGCGTTTCATTCCCTGTGTCACAAAGCAGATCGTGGAAAGTGAATTTGGAGCTGAGAGGTAATATTTTGATAATTGGCACAACCCAAAATAAAGAAAAAAATTCTGACAAGTGAGCTAAGATTTCTGAGATATTTAAAGAAAAATTACACATTAGAAAAGATGAAATATGGTACTTTGCTGTCTGGTTCATCTAATTGGGTTTAGCTGTGGATCATTCGTTTTGATTGCTATGTAAAATTCCGTTGTGGGGTGTATACCTCAATTTATCCTGTCTTTTGTTGAAAAACTTTTGGATTATTTCCACTTTTTGCTACTTTAGCAATGCTATCATAAATAGTCTTGTTCATGTCCTCTGATATATATTTTTTTCTCTTAAATATAAACACAAGTGTGGAATTGCTAACTCACAGGGTTTTCTAAATGTTCACCTGTAAGATAGGTTACCACACTATTTTCCACAGCAGTCGTACCAATTTACATAGCAACCTGTGATTGAGAAGCCCTTTCTCCTCAGGGTTTAGTATTATCAGATTGTTTTGAACATGTTATTTCAAGAATGAATAGAAAACTGGGAAGATTTTGGCAAAGGACAGATGGTGAGAACTCCAGTTTCAGATGCCCAATTGTCTACAAGGCATCACCTCTTGGATATTTAACAAACACAGCTCAGAATTAACACGTTTAAAGATGAACTCTTAACAGTCCCACCAAACCTGTTCATCTGGTTGCCTTCCCCATCTCAGTTAATGCCAATTTCATCTTCCTAGTTGCTAAGACGAAAAACTTTGAAGTCACTTTGAATTCTCTTTTTTTCTCACATTTCTCATCCAAATTGCTAGCAAAGCCTTTTGGATCTACCTTTAAAAAAGAGTCACGAATGCAATCACTACTCATGAACTTTACAACATTACCACACTGGTCCAAGCCACTGTCATTTTCCGCCTTGCTTATGGTGATGGCTCCACAACCATTCTCCCTGATTCTGTCTTTGTCTCTCTTCAGTCTTTTTCTCCAGCCACTACAGTGATCCTTTAAAAATGCAAGCCAAGCCCGGTTCGGTGGCTCAGCCTGTAATCCCCGCCTTTGGGAGGCTGAAATGAGTGAATTGCCTGAGCCCGCAGGTTCGAGACCCGCCTGGGCAGGCGAGACCTCATCTCTACAATAAATCAAAAAATTAGCCGGGCGTGGTAGCGCGTGCCTGTAGTTCCAGCTACTTGGAAGGTTGAGGCGGAAGGGTCGCCGGAACCCAGGTGGAGGCTGCGGTGGCCGGGAGCGGCCACTGCACTCCAGTCTGGGTGACAGAGTGAGACTCCAACTCAATAAATAAATAAATAAAAATGCAAGCCAGACCAAGTTACTCTTCTGCTCAAAATTCTCTGATGGATCCCTATCTAACTTAGGACAAATGTGAAAATTCTTATAATCTCAAAAGAGGTCCTTACAATCTTCTCCAAGGTTCAGTGTGAGCTGATCCCTCATGAACTTTCAACTTCATCTCTTCTACTTTACTGCTTGCTCATTCCACTCCAGCCATATTTCTCAGCTACTCCTTGTAATTTCTCAAGTAAGCTAGATGTGTCCCTGTGTAGGGCCTTGGAACTGGTGTTCACTCTGCCTGGAGTACTCAGCTGTCTGTGCATGTCTTATTTTAATGCCATGTTTAGTGGCTTCCCTGCCTACCCTGATTAAAACTGCAAACTACCCACTTAATGCTATTTGCTATTCACCTTTCTATGTTTTACTGTTCTCTAAAGTATTTATTACCATTTAATATACAAGTATCTTATTTCATCAAATCTAAGGAAGCATCAATTACAAGAAGTAATATCATTTTACATACTACTAAGAAATGAATTAATGCTAATTGGTGCTAATAAGACTGACACATTACAAACTTATCACTTCAAAATCATTGTATAAGCTATTTTTTTCCTTTCATAATCGAGTTTATTGGTTGCGTTGAGGATCAGTACACAGACATTTCAATTTGTACACAGTTCTTAACACACGTACCGAAAATCGAAAAAGTCATGTATTTTTATTTTTAAAGTTATTCTAGTGACTTTACAGCTTAAAATTTGGAGGCAAATTTTCCTTAAGAGGATATCAAGTGCCAGTATCTTCAAATGTTGATAAGCTGTTACATACATCCCACCAATTCACAATTTATCACATACACAACATACTCAATTTTTCAATCTTTCACAACACATTAGCAAAGTTATCAGGAAAACAAGACTACCACGACCAAAGATGTTACAGAGTGCACACAATTCTGACAGGGAGAGTCATGATCAAGGAGTGGTTTTCTTTAGGAAACAATTCTACTAAAAAACAACATGGGAATAGAAGTAATTTTAAATGTTCAAGATATTAAATGCAGGACTGTGATCCATATTGCCACTTAGTATACTCTGCATTATAGGATATAAAAACTAACCCTCATCTATGGAATGTTAAGCTGATACCCAAGACAGTCAAAGCCTCCCGTAATTCAATATCCCACACTATTTTCTGGTTGTACCCCAAAATAAACCACCAGCGAATGACTTCACCTCTTTAAAAAAAGCATTTACACTTAAAAAATGGGATGAGGTGGGATTTCCTCCTTCTTAAAAATGTTTCTAGAGCTACTAAAAAACCTGCATTTACAGAATAGTTGATAAAAATATTCCTCTGGATTGTACAAGAAGGGAGACAAGGACCACTGATAAGACATGGGATATGATATTATTCAGACTTGGCTTCTTTCTCTCCTGCTTCATCAGAGGCTGGATTCTCCTCGGTTTTAGCTTCTCCGTTTTCTGCAGGTCACTCACTCTTCTTTAGTTTCTTGGTTAGTCACTTCAGCCTGCTTTCCCTTCCCTCCCCTTTTTCCCTTTTGCTGGCACTTTTCTGTCTGAAGAGGCATCCTTTCCCGCCGCCTTTTTTGGCCTTGCTTCCACTTTTGCAGGAGGTTTGGCCGACAACCGCGCCGATCTCCTCTTGGGCTCCTCTTTCGCCGCCCCCTCGGCGGAGCTGACCTTCCTCGTGGGCATCCTGGCGGCGGGCAGGGCGCTACCGGGTGCCTGCAGGCAGCGGCACGGAGAGCCCTCGCGAAGCTGGGCTGCCGCACCGCTACCGTCCCTCCTGCCGCCGGAGCTGCTGAGACCCGCCGTAAAAACTGTTTTAGACTTACCTCGTTACCGATTTTTATTATCTATCACTATGACGCAAACCCAAGAAGAAAATATTAGCAAGTTGTTCAAGATACTACGAAAACTCCACCATGTTTGGAGTTCAACGGTTCTGGAACATGTGACTCAGACTCACTGTCTTGGGTGTTTCTCCATGTAGCCCTATGCTTTGGCCATCACGAGCTCTGGTGATGCAGCATTTCTCAACAGTGCTCTGCTGTTGTCTTCAGGGTTTTCTTCCCACCACTGACTGCATTCTACAAGTTCTGAGGTACGCACACAGGCAATAGCATCTGTCTTGAGTGACAGTTGGCCAATAGCACTGTAAGACATGTATGCGTCTCTGAGGTCTTAAAAGTATGCAAAAATGTGTATCTTAAGATAAATTAATTATGGTATTTAGTTACTTGTTTATTGCCTGTCTCCCAGTACCAGAATGCAAGCTTGAAAATGACAGGGCTTTTGTTTATTTTGTTTGCTGCTGTAGCCTCAGCACCTAGTACAATCCTTGGCACAGAGTTGTTAATTTCTTCTGCTGTGTCAAAAACCTTTTAGTTAGAATAATGAATCAAGCCGGGCTCAGTGGCTCAGCCTGTAATCCCGCGCTTTGGGAGGCTGAGGTGAGTGGATTGCCTGAGCTCCCGGGTTCGAGACCCTCCTGGGCAACTTGGCGAGAACTCATCGGTACAATAAATCAAAAAAATTAGCCTGTAGTTCCAGCTACTTGGAAGGCTGAGGCGGAAGGATCGCCGAAGCCCAGCTGGGGTCGAAGCTGCGGTGGCTGGGAGCGGCCACTGCATTCCAGTCTGGGCGACAGAGTGAGACTCCAACTCAAAAAAAAGAATAATGAATCATGCTTTTTGTTAGGCGCCACAAAATCCTCTGTGAGCTTATGCTGAATGGATGGATGAAGAATGAATGAATCCTCCCTTCCCTGAGTTATTTTTTCTTCTTAAAATTGGCAAAAACTTAGGACTTGTCCTTTAGAACTTTAGATCTTTGAGAACTTTTTAGATTGTTAGACCTCTGTGAGCCCTGATTTTAAATTAGACATTTTTCATTCATGCTTTTTATAATTGATAACAAGAGTAGGAAAATGGGTGAATGAAGTGAAAGGTGAAACTGTATCATCAGATCCTTGAAAAAGACAATTATTTCTCAAATGAATCATTGGAAATTTTCTTATGTGAGACTAAAGCCAACCAAACTGACTCAGTGTAATGTCCTCTGATTTTATTTTATTATTAAACTCAATACTCAATGACACATACTCCACAAAGGAGCTGGGGAGACAATTTTATTAATTTCATGTATTTATTTATAGATGAGACTCTCACTATGTTGCCCAGGCTGGACTCAAATTCCAGGGCTGAAGTGATCCCCCTATCTCAGCCTCCTCAGTTGCTGGGACTACAGGCACATGCCATGATGCGAGGCCAGGAGACAGTTTTTAGCTTGATTCCTTCACTTGCTGCTTCAACATCTTGATACATTTAATTAGCATTTGTTGAGAACCCATGGGTACGTGAGACACACAAAATTCTGGAATAAAAAATACAGGGAATGGATAAGGACACCATGCCTAGAGGGAAGATTCTTTCAAATTCATTATTTAAGATTACTGAGACCAACTCTTTCTGTACATTGTACAGGGGACCTTATCTAGTGCATAAGAAAACCCAATTTTAAACTTAAAAGGAAAAAAGTTGTTTCCTAGTATAATTACACAAAACCTAAAGTAACTATTTTTTAAAATTATTTTTATTCATTTCAACTAACCTCTGAAAAGATGTTTTTGGCAATTTTATCGCTGCTTTTAACTGAGTTTGCAGAGTCCGTCTGAAATTAGGAACCACACATATTCGGTCGATTCCTGTTGTGTCAGTAAGCAGAGTTGAGATAAAAGGATGATGATCTAAAGGAATAAAAGCAGTTTGCCTGATTACTCTTTACTTTTCGTCACTCTCAATATTTTTGTCATCTGAAATAGTTGAATTAATAGTAATGAAAAAGAAACCCTGTGGTTGTTCTAGTATGCTCAACATGTACAGAACTTTTCCATACATTTACTCTCTAGTTGATTTTCATATTCAAAAAAGTGAGATGCATAAAGGAATGGATGATGAAGTCAATTACATTTGTATGCCCTTTAGGGAAATAGGAATTGTTGCTTTCTTGGCTGTGTTCTGTATCTACTGAGAAAAGTAAACAGAAAGACTCAGAAATCAACAAATACTGACTGAATACTTAAAATGTGTGGCCAGAACAGTGTTAAATAATGGAGTGAAGGTCAGTTGCAGAGAACCACGAAGTTTAGATAGATAGATAGATAGATAGATAGATAAATAGTAGATAGATATGTGTATCTATCAGCTGCTTTACTGTTGAATTCCTAACATCAGTACAATTTTCTAAGTCCTACATATTAAATGTGATCAGTAATTATATAACAATATAACATACCTGATTTTAGAACTCAAAACATGCCAAACTTTGAAAGCTATTTAAGCTCTCTTAATTATTTATTTTTAAAAATTTGACCCAGTTCCCGATCTCCTACTGGTGTATTCAATTTCACCATTACAGCCTTGTGACTTGTATTTTTCCCCTTGATGTTTCCTGGTTTTACCTCTAAAGTGTCAATGATAAGAATATATCTGATTAAGAAAGTTTCCATCTCCAAAAGTCTAAGTCAGTATTTGATGAGTTTGGGATGGATAACAAGACTGCTGTCAATACAAACTAAGTTTTCAAATAGTGGAGTTTGTCTTATTCATTTTGTGCTGCTATAGCAGGATACTTGAGACTGGGTAACTTATTGTGAGCAGAAATTAATTGGTTCACAGTTCTGGAGGCTGAGCAGTCTAAAATCAAGGTGCTGGCCTCTGGTGAGGCCCTTCTTGCCACATCATTACACGATGGAAGGGATTACATGGCAGAAGGGCAAAGAGAGGGTAAAAGAAAGAACAAGGAAGCCAACTTGTTCTTTTATAAGGAACCTGCTCTTGCAATAATAGTATTAATCCATTCATAAGGGTGGTGCCCCCATGGTTCAAATACCTCCCAACACTGCAGCACTGGGAATCCAGTTATCAGTACTTACATTTTAGAAGTCACATTCAAATCATAGCTTTCCACGTCTGGCCCCCAAAATTTATATCCTTTACACATACAAAATATAATCACTCTAGTCCAATAGCCCCCAAATCTAAACTTGCTCTAGCACCAAATCCAAAGTCCAGAGTTTCATCTAGATCACATATAAGTAAAACTCAAGATGTGATTCAGTTTGAGACAAACTCCCCTTCAGCTATGAGTCTATGAAATCACACAAGTTATCTACTTCCAAAGTACAATGGTGTGACAGATGTAAGGTAGACATTTCCATTCAGAAAGGGAGAAACAGGCACCAAGAAAAGAGTAACTGGTCCCAAGTAAGTGCAACACCCATCAGAGTGAATGACAATCTTAAGGCTCCACAATCATCTTCTTCCATTCCATGCCCCACTTCCTGAACACACTGGTGTAGGGTTTGGACTCCTAAGGCCTCAGACGATACCATCCCCATAGTTTTGCTGGGCTCAGCCCACATAGTAGTTCTCACAGGTTGGATAGAGTCTTGCGCCTGCGATTCTCCTAGGTTGCTGTTGCATGCTGTAAGCTCTATAATTCTGGGGCCTAAGGGGTGGCCCCACCCCTGCAGCTCCACTAGGCATTGCCCTAGTGGAGACTCTGTGGTGGCTTTGCCCTGCAGCAGGTTTCTGCCTAGGTCCCTAGGTTATCTGATATATTCTTTGCAGTCTAGGTGGAAGTAGCCATGTCTCAACAGTTCTCATACTCTGTGTGCCTATAGAAGTAGCACCATGGGGTTGCCACAAATGTTTATGGCATGGATACTCCAGAATGATGACATGAGCTGCACCTGGGCTTGCTTGAGCCATGGCTAGAGCAGAGTTCTAGAGGATGTTGTGTGGGAATGAGGGGAGCAGAGTTCTAGGGTGACTATGGGCAGGAAGTTCATGGAGGGTGCCCTAGGCCTATCCTCAGAAACCATTCTGCCCTCCTAGATTTCTGGGCCGGTGATGGGAGGGGCAGCCTGGAAGATATCCCTGATGCCTTTGGAGTCATTCTCCCATTGTTTTGGTAAATAGCACCTGGCTTCCTTCTATCCATGCTAATCCCTATTTGAAAGGGTTGCTTGGCTACACCCTGGTCCTTACCCTTGCATGCTTTTTTGTTCTCTATATAGCAAGGCTGCAAATTTTTCCAAAGCTTTATGTTCTGCTTCCCTCTAAATCACAACTTTTGTCTTTAAATTATTTTTCTCTTCTCTCATTTTATTGTATGCAATAAAAAAAAGGCATACAGCTCCTTCAATATTTTACTTAGAAATTTCTTCCACCCATTATCCTAGTTTATTGTGTTTAAATTCTGCCTTCCATAAAGCTCTAGGGAATGGACACATTTCAGCTCAGTTCTTTGTCACTTTATAACAAAGATGGCCTTTACTTCAGTTTCCAATTCAATATTCTTCATTTATGTCGAGACCTCATTAGAATGGCCTTTACTGTCCATATTTCTATGTTTTAAAAAGTTCCATACTTTTCCTACAGTCATTGTCTTCTGAGCCCACACCAGAATTGCTCTTAACACTCCATTCACAGCAATACAGACTTTTTTCTAGTCTGCTCCTCCAAATTCTTCTATCCTCTACCCAATTACCTAGTTCCAAAGCCACTTTCACGTTTTTAGTTGTTCATTATAGCAACACTCACTTCTCTGGTACCAATTTTCTGTTTTAGTCAGTTTTGTGCTGCTGTAACAGGATACCTGAGACTGGATAATTTATAGTCAACAGAAATTTACTAGTTCATGATTCTAA